AGAACTGACTTCTGCAGCGAGCCCCACCGCAGAACTGACTTCTGCAGAGAGCCCCACCACAGAGTTCATTGTCACATCGCACAAGCCCAGTGCCAAAGCCACCTCTGTCCACTGGCTGGTGACCACAGAGACCCTCGCCACCGAGTCCAGGGCTGCCTCACAGCACCCCAGTGCAGGCACAGTCACAACAGACTGGAGCCCCAGCAGTGCCTCGAGTTCTGCTACAGAGAACCCCACCACAGGGGATGTGGCTAGCACAGAGAACCCTCTGACCAAGAAAGCCACTAGTGACAGGAGCCCCAGAACAGAGTCTGTCTGCAACCTTCAGATCAGGCCTGTCCCTCCTAAAGGGACCACCGGGGAAGCCCTGAAGATCATATGCGAGGCAGAGTGCGGTGAGAATGTTACCATCAGGTGGCTGAAAACCCCTGTGGTGCTCTCTCAGTACCAGGAGGAGGCGTCTGAGGGCAAATCCACCCTGACTGTTGACCGTGTAGGTCTCGACCACCAAGGGATCTATGAGTGCATCATGCTGAGCAGGAGACTCCAGGTGGCGAGACTCCACATCGCTGTGTCTGCTGGTGAGTGGCTGCCAAGGGCTTTGCATTCAGGAGTGGTTGGTCCCTGTGGGGAGGTGCAAGCCAGCCCAGGGAGGAGGCGGCGTCCCAGTGATCATGTTTGTTTCCTTCCCCGATCTGTACTCCCAAAGGTAACAACAGAACAGAAACTACAGTTTATGGTCAGCATAACCCTCCAACCAAAACCAGTGGGATGGGGAGAGGCAGAGTGCATGTGTTCAAGGGCCAAGCATCACGCATGGGTCTTAGCCACACGCTTTTCTTGGTTGTTGAACACTACAGTGAATAATGGCCGGGGAAAGTTGCTGGGTTGACAGCCCTGAAATTCCATCCACAGGCACCAGTACAACACGGGCAGCGGCAGTGCAAGCTTCCCTGCCCACGTGCCTTAACTCGGGGCTGGAGGGATCAATCTCTAGGCAGGAGCCTGTTAGCCTATACAGCCCATTAAACCCTCTCTGCCGAGGCTGCTGATCAGTGCCACTGGCCCTGGGGGCCCGTGGGATGTGACAATGCAGCTGTTGGTGGCTGGCTGGAGAACCACCCGCTGGTGTCAAAGGACGCTTAAGACACCGGGACCCAGGCTGGGATATTTATACTTGCCGATTGTTGAGACCAAGCCCTGCTAAGGGCTCAACCACAGCAACTGACAATTTCTCGTGTCTCTTCTTTGCAGCTATCTTCAGCACCGACTCCGCCATCGTGGTCGGGACGGCAAGCTCTCTCCTGGGCCTGATAGTGACAGCATTTGCGTCACATCGCCTGTGGCGACGACTCCACCCACCGGGCATGAAGAGCCCTAAGGGGAACAGCGTTTAGGTGCCTGTGGCCCCATCGTGACTCGTTTTGAACATTCATCCTCTTTCCACTGACCAGCTTGCCCGTTGTTCTGGAAAGCTTGGTATTCGAGCCAGCCAGGCCCCTCGGACTGCACCTGGCCAGAGACGGGAGTGGAGGAGCTGCCTGATGCTTGGGCCGCTGCTGGGAGAGCTGGGTAAATGGTCAAGCTGGAAGCTGCCCAGCAGAGCTGAGCAGACCTTTGGGTTGACCAGTCTCTTTCCTTTCCTCCACTTCACTCCTTAGCATCATGGTTTCCTCTGGTTTCAAGTGCAGTGGGAGCATTTTGCTCCAAAGTCCAGGCAGGTGCTGAGACTTGGATCCTACAGACACACCTGTGGGACTCAGACAAGAGCTTCCCAATGGAGATGAACAGGTCACAGGTGTCAGGGTACGGCAGTTTCTAAACCAGACCAATGGATTTTCCCTTCACGGTATATTGAAAACTCTCTCCTTGCTTGAGGCTTCCGGCTGAGGAGATGCCAGTAATATTTCCTGTAGGAGTGGTTTGAAATCCCTGATCCTTTCTGGATTCGCCACGGTTGTTTTCATGGTGGCTTATTTCAGAACTCTCTGGGGTCATGGTTGCTCCTGTTTTTGTTCCCAAGTATGTTGGGTATTTCCAGTGCGGGTGGGGAAGAGAAGATGGGCGGGGGGGGGGGGGGGGGGGGTGGAATTCCAGGTGCATTGAGGGCTGGCTAGGGAGGGACTAGGTGAGACTATGCTCAGACTTAGCCCCTTGGACCTGAGTGGAGACTTTAAGCAAATGCATAACAGTGACGAACTATCAATGTGACACTCTGTACTGCTCATACAGCTCCATCTCCAGGCCCTGGGTTTCTTTGCGCTGATACTCTGCAGCCCCACACCCTCTCCCTCCGAGACAGGGTTGCAACGCCTTCTGGAGAGGACTGTGGGGCAGCTGCCTGGTTTCCTTCCACGCTGAGATCGTACATGCACCAGCCCCATCTCAGAGATGGGATGGAAACTCAAGTCACTTCATCTCTGTATTTAAAACATCCTAAGAAACCCCTCCCACCTGCTGTAATCTATCAAACCAGGCTGCTTGTAAATAACCTGTATTGAATGTTGAGAACGCAGTAGACCTGCGGTGTATACGGAGTTTCTGTTGTATAGTGAGAACTGTTGCTCTAATAAAGAGTTGTTTTTACATATTCCCTGTAGTGGTTTCCTTGGCAAGTATCACTTCTCTATACCCTGGCCCTACGGTTTGCCTGCAGCAGCAGGGCCATGGGTATGCTTGTATTCCACACAGCAGGCAGCTGGGGGCAGGGAGGGCACCTAGCTTCTCGCAGAATAGCCCCACTGAGTATATTCCTGGGGGCATTTTGACTTCAGCCAGGTATAATGGGTGTCATCAGAATTTGCAAGAGGCCCCGCATTGCAACTTGCTGATTAGATGCTGACTTGAGGGCTCTAAAACAGAATACCTGGTTCTCGTGGCTGAAGCAGAGGCATGCCTCCCTTGATCCTAGAGAGAGATAGGAATCCCAGAAATACCTTACCGAGAAAAAACAGCTCTCCCGGAGTCCAAAAACCAGAACTACGCCACCCGTGCTCCACCCACTCCCGGCCTCTCCCAGCAGCCGTTGGTCTCAGTTCCTTACGACACAGCAGCAGGTCTCTCAACACTAGCTCACATGTAACCATCTCGGCAAGGAAATCCCCACAGCTGGCTCCTGGGCTGCCATTTGTGGCCTCTGGGGAAACACTGCTGTTCTGCACTTGGGATCCTGCTTCCTGAGCTCAAGCCTGGTCAGGGCACGGGAAGCAATGCCACCTTTAGCAAGGGCAGAGATAAAGGAGCAATCAGAAACCAGACCATTTAGTCCGAATCAGTCAATAGGTGCTTTAGCAAAGCACTCCCCTCCTCCTGCCCAGCAGGGTGAAACAGCCCTGGGCCTAGTAGGGTCAGTACTCCCACATTCGTACTCCTGCAGGTGGCCTAGTGTTTGTGCTCAGCCAGGGATGACTGGCCGAAGCAGCTGCCAAGTGAGGAGGTGAGTCTGGCCTTCTCCCTGCAGGGAAAGCTGTGGTGTTGTATGAAGCCCAGTAGGTCACCTTGGGGAAGCAGGGAGAGCACAGAAAGCCCAGCTGGGTCATTGGCCATGGCAGAGTTGGTCCAGTTTCTCCTTGCAGCTGCAGCACTCAGAGCTGTCATTCTCAGGCTACCTGCCAGACATGTGGCGGCTGGGGCCAGAACTGCAGAAAGCTGCTCCCATCCCTGGCGAGGTTAGGTGCAGGTTGGGGACACAGGAGAAAGGGACAAGATCCCTTTGTGAAGAACTTGCCTACAGCCCATCTCAATGAAAGTTCCCCATAGTGGAGGAAAAGTAACAGCTTGGGCCTTGCGTGTCTGGAATTAAGCACTCAATTCCTGCCTGTTCCTTGTGCAGAGAACTCCTCTCTCTGGACCCAGCTCTTGGAAAACTACCATTGCTCTGCGGCAACTTCTCTGCGTGTGTCGGAAGTTAATGTCCCAGCGAGGGCGGGTGGAGTCTCCTTCCACTCTCTGACCTCCCCGCTCCACTGAACAAATACCAGATTCAGCACTGGTCAGGAACCTGCCACCTGCAACAACCACACCGCCCCATTTAACGAAAAGGAGATCTCCTGCATATCCAGCTGGAAGGGGATATTAATGCAGCAGAATACAGTTATCCCTGTTGGAATGAAAGCTAGAATACTGGGGTTAACAAAGGCCTCACAGCTTGTGTACTCAGCAACCAGAATGGGTGCAGTTAAAAAAAACCAAAAAGATCCCTAGCGCTCTGTAGTCCCTCTGATTGTGAGCTGTAGCAGCGCAGTGCACTCCAGCGCTGCAGTGGGGAAGTGCTCTTGCCTCCTAAAATCAGCACCAGTTCCTGCGTGTTACCTAAAGGTCTCCCCTCCAAACACTGACCTGGCCCAGGCCTGCGTAGCACGAGAGCAGGCGAAGTCCTAGCTAAGGTGGAAAGACTGCAGGCTACTGCCATGTTCCCCGTTATTAGCAGCCAAGGTTTGTTGCTTTGAGTTCAGAATGTACAAGCAAAAAAAAACTTTATTTAAAAACAAAACACAAATCCCTGCACGTACAAAGGGCCCCTCCTCCGGCTCCTGCAGAAAACGCTGTTTTAAAGCCGCAACCAAGGGCAGCCTCAAGTTTGGTAACAGGCTTCTTGTTAAAGCAGAGCCTGCCTGCTGCAGGCACGTCTCATGGGCACTGCCACTTACCCATTTTGCTGTCACAGAGCAGATTCAAGGGCAACACCATCCAGTTGCCAGCTGCTCCATTTAAGTTTTCTTTAGATACGAGGAGACTTTTGATCCCTGCCCGCTGGGAGGGAGACTGATCAGAGATGGTTGCTGTGCTGCTGTTTCAAGTGACCAGCGCTGGACAATGAAATCTTTACTCAGAGAACAGGTAGCAGGAAAGCTTCCCTAGCACCAGCCTCCCAGCTCCACTTCTCACAGGCAGAGGGCAGCTCACTCAACCCGTGGCATGTTGTGGGGCAGTCTCTGTGTGATCCATTTGGAACTGGACTATGACTATTGCACAGTTATAACTGGCACTGTTGCCCTGAGCAGCTGAGCTGAAAGGCCAGTGTTCTGTCAATCATGACTGTGGCTGAAATGTCCCATGCCTTCTGGGAACCCACTGCCAGACTGAAGACTGTTTAAACCAAAGCTACAAACTTCAGGGTTTAAAGAGGTAACACCCCACATTTCTACCATGATTAATGGAGGGATGGCTACACCACTGGAAGGGCAATCCAATTGTGGCGTACGCTGCTTCCATGGGGGAGTTTCCTTCCCTGACCTCAGTCCTTTTGGTGAAGCCAAAAAGCCCCTTTGTCTCTGCGCTGATGCAATTTGGTTCAGAGCAGTGCTTTTGGTTCCAGAAGAGTGGACCAAGTCCTAACTCTGGCATCTAAATGCACATCTGTGCTTACAAGTCAGGCCCCTGTGCTAGCACAGTAGGGCTGCGTTGTAGCTGGCCTCAGACCCCCGCCTTGCTCTAGCTTTGGGTAGGAATCAAGCAATCCTTTCTTCCTTTGATGCTTTTGTTTAAAAACCCCCTTGAGTGGCCCTCACGTCCCTGACGATTTGCAGGCAGAATGAGTTATGCTGGCCCAGTTCTGTAGAACTAACGTTATGAGCTTGTTTATTAGTGAACAGGGGAAAATACTCAGACTTTCAAGTTAAACCCTGTCATTGGGCTGGAGCCATCCCTCCTTGGGAGCTGTGCGTGTTGGGGGAAAAGAGGGAAAGTCTCCAGCGGTTCACGTACACTCCTCCCCTCTCAACTTTGCTCCCCAACCCTTCTTCTGTCAGGAAGTAGAGGTCCAACACCCACACCCTGGAGCATAAAGCATTAGATCAAAGATTCTTGGAGGTGGGGAACCTTCTTTGCTTGCAAGGTCTGCCCATCACTGCAGAACACAGTAAAGTGGAGGAGCTTAACTGAACTACAGTGGCAATCAGATTACAGCGAAAGCCCCTAAGGGACATGGTACAAAATTCCACCCAGAAGGCGCTACTGCCACATTGAGGTAGGTGCATGATAAAAAACATGACATTGACAGGCTCGTGATTTAAAGCAGCCGCAGGCAGTGTTTACGGTAACTGAGTAGCCACAGGAACACTCTTTCCATCAAACAGACTATGCAGCTGCTTCCTGCAAACCATTCTGTTTGGGATCGGTCTTAAGAGTGCATGGAACAATGATAATACGGCTGCATCCAGTCAAAAACAAGCCACCCCCCGGAGGTGGAATGCCGGGCCCTATCAGCCCTTTTTCCCTTCACCCAAACCTCAGATGCACTGGACATATTCCTACAGCATTGAAACCAAGATGAGGGGGAAGGGGAGGGCTAAACAGAGGCAGCAGAAGCAAAGACACCCACTGCAGTTTGTAGTGTAGTGTATGAAAGACCAACTGCATCTGTGGGACAGATGGCAGCATCGCTTAGCAGCGCTCTGCTCAGATCTGAGCCTGGAACACAGAAGATCTCTGTCCTGGATTAAATTGACAAGTGTCACCATCCTGAAGGATGTTTAAGAAGCGAGATCACAAGGGAACCTTTGGTTAGACTGTAAACCAGAGTCCAGCCATCTGATAGCAGCTCCTGCACCAGTACTGCTGCACCGATATCTGTGCACAGCCACTGCCCGCAGCTTCCCATTCAACGGGAAGCATTATAACTGGCATGGCACTTGAGCTGCTCCAAACCCCAGTCTCCTTATCACACATACTCAAGGTTCTGCTTCCCTTCCTTAAGGCCCAGCTTCTGTACTGGGTTTCAGCACATTCCCAGCCTCCGGCAGAGAACGGGCAGACTCCAAGACTGGGGCAGCCTAAGCAAGTTAGACTGATCACAGCTGCATGGAAGCAGGAGCCGGGAACTTGCTCGCTTGCTCCTAGCCATGTACCGTGCGCTGGTGCTTCAGTAGGTTGGATTTGTGGTTAAAGGACTTGGAGCAGCATTTGCAGCGGAACTGCTTCTGGTCCTGGTGAGTTCTCTTGTGCTGCAGGAAGGTGGAGAAGTGGGTGAAGCTCTTGGGGCAGTGCTCGCACTTGAAAGGCCTCTCGCCTGTATGGATGCGCTGATGCTCCTTGACTGAGGCTTCCCATTTGAACCTCTTGCTGCACTGGGAGCACTTGAAAGGCTTCTCCTCAGTGTGGATGCGGAGATGCTTGATGAGGCAGGACGTGCGCTTGAAGCGCTTGGCGCAAACGTCGCACTTGAAGGGCGCCTCGTCCGAATGGACCTTGCTGTGCTTGGCTAGGTCCCCAGCCAGCTTGAAGTGCTTGCCACAGGCATCGCAGCAGTGGGGCCGATTGTCCGAGTGGACCAGGCGATGCTTAATGAGGTCAGCGCAGCGGATGAAGTTCTTCTGGCAGGTCTCACAGTGGTAGGGCCGCTCGCCCGTGTGGATGCGCTGGTGCTCCTGGAAGTTGGAGAGGTGCTTGATGTCCTTCTTGCAGATGTCGCAGCGGTAGAACTCCAGGGGAACAGCCGCACGGCTGAGGAGCCGCTGAGATCGCCTCCGCTTTCTCCTGACTGGGGACTTTGGAGGGCTTTTCCCTGCTTCCATGAGGTTGGAGATCACACCTGACAAAGCAAGGATTTATATAACACTGTATGTGCTTGCTCTGCACTTTACAAAGCATGAAAGAAGGCAAGGTTCCCACCTTGAGGACCTTCCAGTCTAACAGAGGCACTTATGGGGCATCATTTCAGGCTGTTAAAAACTCCAGTGATTAGTGCTAGAGATTTAACGACAGAAGCAGCTTTGAAAGAGGGCACAGGAATAGTGAGATGGTCCAAAGGCAGGAGGCATCATGAAAGAAGGGGAGAGTGGGAGGAAAAAAGGAACAGCTGGGAAAGAGGATGCAGAAAATAGGGAGGAGGAAGTGTGAGCACGTGCTTTATTATTAACCACATGCTGCCCTTTCTCTAGTGCCCTTCCCTCTCACCACACCAGTTAGATAGGTCAGATTACCCCATTATACACATGGGGCAAGGGAGGAAGAGAAATGTCAGTCAGACAGTAACAGCTGGAAAAGCAACTCAGGACTCCTGCTTCCATCACTTGCTCTACCCACTAGGCACAGCCTGTGACAAAGTGGGAATGTTCTTAATGTTTTCTCTGAATACTGTGTGGGTGCCTCAGTTTCCCCTATGCATTTCTTAAGTATCTAGGTGGTGGGATAAGGGTGTGTGATTGTTGCCGAGCCCTAGGCAGGTGAATGGCCGTCAGCCGGTCTCCTAGCAACTGACAGCTTGGGCCCCTCCCCCGCAAGGTGCCAACTGAAGGCTCTGGAGAACAAAGAGATCAGGTGGCCTCCTGGCCCGGGAAAGAGACAAAGGGCAGGGGAGGGGCTGGAGGGAGTCTCAGTTTGGAGCTAGGCGGGGAAATGGAGGGAGGCCCAGCACCGGGGTCTGGGCTCCCCACCCCCAAGATGTACTGACTGAGGGGGGGGTCCTGTTTTCTGTACCTACACGCTCTGCTTGGACTGTGTTCCTGTCGTCTAATAAACCTTCTGTGTTACTGGCTGGCTGAGCGTCCCGGTGCATCGCAGGAAGTGGGGGGCGCAGGGCCCCGACTCCCCCACCCCTCGTGACACGCCCCACCTGGTGGAAGGGCTTCTTCTAGGCGAGCCACATGGCAGGGGGCGGGAAGGAGTAACCTGCACCCTCCCCTCCCTCACGCGCACCCAGCTCCCCCCAGGCCCGCAATGATTAGAGGGATCCAGCCCCCCATTAGCCCAGCCCTGCCCCCCACAGCCCCCGCCGAAGGGGGTTGAACCCAGGCCTGTTACACACACTCCCAAAACGGGGGGGGGGACACCCTAGAACCTCCAGCCCCCGCCCAGAGCACGGGGGGGTCCCGCTCCCCCTCCCCAAGAACACCGGGGTCACCCCTAACCCCCCCAATACAGGACCCGCATTACCTGCGGCCCCCAGGCCCGGAGCAGGAAAGGCACTGCGGAGCTCCTCCCTTTACCTGGCGCTCAACTAGGCGCCTCGGCACACCCCTCCCCCACCCCACTTCCTTAGTGAGGAAAGAGGTCAAAGGGCACCGGATATAGAAACCCAGGTCAGAGGTCAGCGTCCTTGGGTACCGGTTGCTAGGCGCGGGGCAGTTGCCCACACTAGCTATGGTAGCCGAGGTTCTTCCGGGGTGTGGCCGGATGTAGACCCCGGGGGTGCCGGGCCAAGGTTCACCGCAGTCCCAGGGCCATAGGGCCTGAAGGTACCAGGACTAAGATGGAGGCGACCACGCTTCACTGCCCACAGTTAAGATGGCAACCCCCAGCGCGTTCTCTGATTGGCTTAGAATTGAGCAAGATGGCGGCCACCAGCTTCCCTCGCCGGTTGATTGGGTGCAAGATGGCGACCAACGGTCTTCTTCACCCACTGATTGGCTGACAGCAAGTAACATGGCGGACAGACTGTTCCTTACCAGGTGATTGGTAGCCCGCAGTCAAGATGGCGGCAGAGTCGCCTCACTGCCCACAATCAAGATGGCGGCCTGCGAGAAGCGGCGCTCAGCTCCGGCCCCGGCGACTGGGAGCGGGCTCGTGGAGCCGGTTCGGGCGGGAGTTGGAGGCCGGGAGCCGGAGAGCGAGGCCGAGTTCCTGCTCCAAGCCGGGGTGACGTCCATGGTGCGGGAGGCGCTGCTGAAGGTGCTGGAGGCCCGGCCCGAGGAGCCCGTCTCCTTCCTGGCCAGTTACTTCGAAAAGCTGGTGCTGAGCGGCCCCCAGGGCGGTGCTGCCGCGGACCGGCACAGGCAGCAGCAGCGCCTCGTCCGGGCCCTGTGGTACGTGCGCCTGGCCCACCATTCACACAGGTGCGGAGCGTGAGCTGGGTGAAGGGGGTGCGACGCGAGACTACAACTCCCGGCCTGCCTCAAGCCAGGCCCGATTTAACTTTCTCTGGCCCGGCGAGTAGAGCATTCTGGGAGTTGTAGTCTTTGTGAGGCTGCCGCTTTGACGGGTAAGCAATACATGATGGGACTTGGAGTCTTCATGGCTGTATTAATATTGGGCTTTGGTAGTCCCTACAGTCTGCTGAGAGAGCAGGGCCATGGGGGTTTGCAGTGTCTTTAGCCTGCTCATCCTTGACTATTCTGTCCTTTGTGCTACAGCCTTGCACAGCAGGTGTGGGGCAGGCGACTGTTGCTCTGCAAATCAGGTGTGAGAGGAAACTACCCCTGGGCCCAGATCAGCTTAAGTGCTATTCATCTCATCCACGCTGAGGAGTAAGCGAATCTGTGTGCCCTGCTTTACTTTTCCAGAGCACTGGATTAAAGAGGATGGCGCGTTGGCAGATAGTGGGTGTGGGGCTCAATATTATGTGGTATAATTCATCTTGCATGGCAGGAAAATGTGTCCAGAACTGTAGGTGGACTGAACTGTTGCAAGCTTCACCCAGTTGTGTTTTGGTCACAGTTCCTTTAGCTATGGATCTGTACCTTGGAATTCCCCCCTCCCCACCAGCGCCAACCCTGTGTGCTAACAAATTATTTGATTGTGTGTCATGGCAGGACTGCCTTTAACAACAACGTCAGCATGGCTTACGAGTGCCTGAGTGCCAGAGGCAGGAGGAAGAAGCCAGGTGTCAATGGGAGAATCTACAGTGAGTTGCTCAAGAAGATCTGCCAAGATGGGGAAGCCCCTGAAGAGGTTGTTTCTTCTTTGCTGAAGAAGATCCAGTGCCGGGACCATGAGGCGGTGCCTTTTGATGTCTTCCGCTATGGGGTGCTCAGCTGCTTTGTGCTTCTTGAGTTTGTGGCCAAGGCTGATACTTTGTACGACGTACTTGATGATGGTTCTGGCGTGGCGGATAAAAGGGTTTGCCAGGCAGTCCTGGGCACTCTGGAAGATGCTCTTGGAGCCAGCGACTTCTCTGTGCCCATCCGTTACTTGGAGGCCGGCTCCAAGCTGGGACCAGACTGTTTGGCTTTGGCCATGGACAAAGCATTGCTAGAGAGGAAGATTTGCTCCTCCATGAACAGGGAAGACTTTCTAAAGAAAGCCACAGCCCTATTCATTGCAAAAGTAAAGCCCATTGACTGACACTCTCCAGTGGGGACAACACTCCCTGTGTTCTGCTAGGGCTTCAAATGGAGCAGATTATTCTGGGGAAACATCAAATCCTGGGACTTCAGGTGGCCACAGGGGGAGCAAGGCGGGCCTGCCAGTTCCTGTCCTTGCCTGAAGAGCTCTGGATCTACTTGACTAGAGAATGCTTGTCTTAAATTTCCTATTCACCTCCTAACTCCATCCTGAACACCTTAAATGCCAGCCACCTGTAGCATTTGATCTGCTGGCTTGTATATCCACAACTGAGAATCTCCCTTTTTAAAATGCCTGTTTCTTTTCAATAGCTATTGTAAACCTCTGCTTATAGCTCAGGGAACATCCAGGGAAGCCCAGGAATTCCAGGGCAGTGCTAGAAACTAAAACTGAGCCAGTGTGGCCTGAGCACAGGACTGGGAGTTGGGGACTTCTGAGCTGTGGTCCTACTCTGCCACTGATATATTTTGTAACTTTGGGCAAGTCACTTAGGTTCTGTTTTTCCTGTCTATAAAATGGGGGTAATACCTTCCTCAGAGGGTTGTGGTGTGGCATAACAAGTAAATGCAGCACTTGGAGGATCTAAAGTGTTATTTAAGTGTTGTTAAGTAAGTGATGTAATTTTATTAAATAGGTAAGATGACTAATATCTGGCAAGAAATGAGATTTCATCAAAAGCAGAGGCTAGTTCTGATTGGCCAGTGGCTGAATTTCAGAACCCTATATTAGCATTAAACTATTCTGAGTGTTTCATCATATTGCAATTTACTAAACTGCATCCTGTAATCTGGACCCTCAAAAGCAGAGATCATACGTGACTGGTCATCTGTAAAGCAAAACTGTGGTATATTAAAGATTTGCTAGTAAGTTTGGAATTTAAACACCTGATAATGAAGCAAAAACAGGATAAGTTCTAATTCCCTTATGGGCTTAATACATCTTGCGATGTTTACTTCAACTGGCGATGCTGGTTGGACCAGACCTTATTCATTTGTGAGTTTAGATCTATGATTATTCATGCAATGCAATGATTTGTTTTAGAGGACATTAAACTGTTTAAACTTTTAGTTTGGCTGTAAACATCTTTCTTAATTGCATGGTAGCCTTTACTCTCAGCAACGCTGCATTTTATAGCACGCTTTCTGTGAGGATTTCAAAGCACTGGCAGCCCCCTGTGAATTTAAGAAACATCCCCATTTTGTAGAAAGGGGCAGCAGGGGGAGAAATAGAGGAGGAGACTTTGAAAAGAGGCCTCTAATTTGGGGTGCCCATTGTTTAACATCTAGGGCTCAGGGGGGCTGGAACAGTTTTTATAGTAGGGGTGCTGAGAGCCATGGAACCAAACTGTGAAGCCTGTATCTAATGGAAACCGCTTCAAGCTAGGGGGGTAAGGAAGTACCCCCAGCAGCCTGAGTTCCAGTACCTATGCTAGGGCTTCATTTTTTTCAGAGATGCTAAGGACCCACAACTCTAACAGCAGCTCTGCCAATCGGGTCCCTGAGATTAGAACCCAAAATTAGAAGCCACCTTTCTTGCCCTGCCTTAGTGAGTGAGGCAGAGCAGGGAATACAACCCGGGGTCCTGGCTCATGGTTCTCTGCTCTAAGCAGCTAATTCATAGATTCTAAGGTGAGAGAAAGGACCATTGTGATCATCTAGTCTGACCTCCTGTATAACAGATCACATGGCAGCTGAGGTCATTCCCAACTCACTTACAGCAGCAAACGCTGATGTTAGCTTCCTTGCATTCCCTTCCCGGGCAAGGAGGTTGAGAGGTTTCAAGAACACTTCCTTTGTAGGCTATTCTGATGGAAGCAGACTCAGTGGCTGTATAGGGCCCCTTTCCTTTGTTCTCTGCTGCCCAGCTGTGGATGTAGGGTGACCAGACAGCAAATGAGAAAAATCGGGACAGGGGGTGGGGGGTAATAGGAGCCTATATAAGAAAAAGACCCCAAAATTGGGACTGTCCCTATAAAATCGGGACATCTGGTCACCCTATGTGGCTGTAACAGGAGTAAACATGCAGTCTTGTTGCTGTGGCGCATGTGATGTACGTAATCTTATCCAGCTCAAATCCCAACACACCCCAATGCCAAATTATACTAGGAAATACACCGTGATTCTTTCCCAGAACATGTGCAGGGCTAATGTGTTTTGCCAAGCTGCTCAGCCCTGTTGCATTCTCAGCAAAGCCAATTGCTTCAGCGTTTCCTGTTTACCCATCAGCTGTACCCTACTTTCCGGTTGACACAGAACCCCGGCCCAATCCCATCTCCGACCCTGCCCCTCTAAATCCCCCCACAGCTCCCCCTGCTCCTGTCCCCTTCTTCCTCCCCGCCCCCATCCTGTTCTTGCTCTAATTCCCCATCCCTTCTCCCTGCCCCCCTCCCGGGCCCAAATCCCCACACTCCCCCTCCCTACGCCTCTCTCCCCAGTGTCTGTCTCCCCGCCTCCCCTAGGGGGCGGTATCCCCTCCTCTACCCCCGCCCTCCGTGAAGTCACAAATCCCCCGCCTCCCTCGCAAAAGCGGCTGGGAGCTGGAGTCCCTCAGGGTCCGGCCCCGCCCCCACGCCCAGGGCCTGAGCCTCCCATAGGTTGGCGCGAGCGCGGTGGGCGGGGTCGCTCCCCCCACCCCACCCAGTGAACTACAGGTCCCGTCGTGCCCCGCGCGCGCGAGAGAGGCTCAGTCCGGCAGCAGCAGGAGGAAGCGGTTCGGAAGGCGCTATCCCGCTCGCCCGGCCGCCGCGCTCAGGCGAGTCCCCGGCTTCTCCGCGGCCTACCTCGGTTGTCGGCATGGCCCGGCCGCTGGTGCCTAGCTCGCAGAAGGCGCTGCTGCTGGAGCTGAAGGGGCTGCAGGAGGAGCCCGTGGAGGGGTTCCGGGTCACCCTGGTGGACGAGGGCGACCTGTACAATTGGGAGGTGGCGATCTTCGGGCCCCCCAACACCCACTACGAGG